ACTTTCCCCTAGTGCAGCGGGTTACCATTGTTGTCTTGTCTACAGAACTGCGAGTTAGTTCGCACTTGTCGATAAACCACATCTTACTCGTTTCGAGGGCATCTAGTTGGGTCGCAAACTTTCCGAACAATTATCGTCTTCCCTCCGACCTTCTGTCTTTCCTATCCTTGACCCGATTGTTGTGACTTCATGTGCATTTCGAACACCCATCTCTTACGTCCTTTTCGTCCTCCATTTCGTTAAGTCCGAGTTAGTTCGCACTTCGCTTCTGTAGTGGTCTGGGGTTGGGCATATTAGTCATCCGAGTTGGTCTGAGGTTGGGCGTGCTCGTCAACGGGTGGGAATACAATGGCGTCCGCAAAGAACACATCCATAAGTGCTGGACCATCTGCCCCCGGGGCGGGACGACCTGTAACCTACTCCTTCGTATATGCACGCAAAGGGAGCACAATGGTTTTTGGACTTCGTTGTTCAGGGGGACCTTTTTGGGCCAGCTGTTTTCATGCGACCCACTTGCGTTACAGACGCTTGGGGAGCGATCAACATTGTTCCTCTCGGTACCGTCGTCTCGTGCGCGAAGACTCCTGGAGGTTTGCTCAAGCTGCACACTAACGGCTTGTACGACGAGTGCAGACTGCCTATCAGAGGTGTTAAAGGTGTGATAGTGACCATCAAGCGTTTCGCGGGGTACGGCTCGAACATGTCGTTGTGCTCTCACTTCAAAGGCCTTTACGATGGCAGCAGCAAGCGTCTTCCATCGCCAGAGCAATATCTCGATCTCGCGCTGATGGTGCCGAAAGCACGTCCGGTTCTTCCACCAGAGCATGTTTTCCGGCTTCTGCCACCCCGTGAGGGGTCGTCCGGCTTGGCTCAAGAAACTCCAGGTACGGCAGTGGGGCGCGGGAGTCCGATTCAAGACGCTGGGGGTCGGGTCAAGGGACGCAGCGTTCACACGCAGGTCGGCCTGGATGCTCCTGGGAACACGTCGGACTTGCATTCTCAGGGTACAGGGACTCAACGGGTCGGTACTCCGAAAATTATCTAGGTCCGCTGCGGCTGCGACACGTATTCGCTTCGAGATGAGACGACAAGAGATTCAAGCAGATCGGGGCAAGATGTCGGAGGGAATGAGGCTGAAGGGATGGGCGCTGTCCGCGAAAGCTCTGGCGGGGAGCAGACTCCTTCGGAGAAGAGGAGCGAGCGACAGAGGATGGTGCGAGAGGAGGTGGCGGAAGGAACCCTCGGCATGAAGAGGATGAGAGGAAAATCGGAGGCGGTGATGGACGGGAATGGAGGTGACGTCGGAGAACGTGCCTCGGGAAAGAGGCCGCTGAAGGAAGAGGGTGGGACGACAAGTAAGAAAGCGAGGAGGCCCGGCGGTTTGACCATCCGCGAAGGACAAGCCGTGGGTGGAGGAGATTCAGCTGATCCAGGCGCTGAGGCCGCGAGAGAACCTTCGGGGAAATCGAAACGGAAAGTGGCAGCTGAAGAAGGCGATGGCCAGAAGAAACCTCGCAGGCGGAAGACTGCTGAGGCGGCGAGTGGGGACGAACGACCTGACAGGGACGAGTGCGACGAAGCGGCAGCGTTCTGGCTCGAATACGAGCGGAACGATGGCGGTGAAATCGTGGAGAAGGAGCTCCCCGTCCAACTGCTCATCGACCCCAGGAAGGTCTGCGACATCCCGTCTTGGGAACGATATTACAACCACCGCAGTCTAACTCGCGAAACTGTGGACGACATCAAGTCTGCGATGCTTAGTCAATTCCGTGAGAAAAGGGGGAAGATCTGGATGAAAAACCCTTTGGTTCTGGCACCCATCTACAAGCCGGTGACGCATAGGCCGGAGAAAGCTGACAGGGTTCACAAAGATGTCTGCAAGCCAGAGGACAAGGACAAGTACTACTGTTACCCTGTTAACGGTCACCACACTGTGGCTGTTGTGAAGGAGTTGGAGGGTGAGCCAATATTAGATTTGTGGAAGATGCACTCGCGGCCGGCGAGAGTAGTATGGTTCTCCGACCAAGATTTCGTGGGCTATAGGCAGGTCAGTCTCAACGAGAACACGAGACACAAGATGTCTAAGCAGCGATCGTAGAAGGCCGCGTTCTTGAACATGCGGGAGGCATGGGAGAAAAAAGGAAGGCCGATGGCCATTCAAGGGAACCCTTCCGGCAAGGAGGCCGAAAAACGAAAGTTTTTCGAATTCCAAAAGCTGATTTTGGGAAAGAGTCCGAACGAATCTCACTGGGCGTTGGCAGAAAAAGATTTGTCGCTCGCCGACAAGGATTATGTCGTTGCCGTTGGCAATGCATTGAGGCAGTGGATGCCGCTCGTGACGGCCGGTGATGACGTTTTTCACAAAGCCATGGAGTTCTACGTGAAATGGGCGGAGGAAAAGTTGTTGGGCGGCGACAGCAAGACGTCATTGTCGAGGCCGGGCAAATACATGCCAGACAAATCTCCAGGTCTGCAAGCAATTCCGGAAATGGGCTCGAAAGGGGCGGCTGGTGAAACGAAGATGGGGTGGCTGGTCTGGGTCCCGCTTCCTACGACCAAAAAGAAAACGCAAGCGGACGACAAGTTTTTCGTGGTCGTGAAGGAGCCAGGCATGTTCTGCTGGCAGTGTCTCGCCGACATGACCGATGTCGAGAAACTGTTGATCCTTGACGACATTCTCACGCTAAGGGGAATGTTTGTGCAATCCGTGGGCGGCCATCTGAAGCGTCTGCGTAAACCAGGAATTAAAGACATGGTCGCGACAAGGAAAGTGGACCGTGTGATGCTCCGTATGTTCCACTACATCTTGTTCCTTGAAACAGAGGAGGACGAACGTGTTTGGCGCCACGGGAGCCCTTTTTTTCGGACCAAGGGGAAGCTTCTGGAGGAGTTCAGGCCGCAGGGCCTCACGAAACAGGTGTGGGTCGGAATGCGAAAGCATTTCCAGGGCGCGGTGAAGTACGTGAACACTTGCAAACGTACTCTTCCACACGAGAAGGAGTCCATCGACGACGCGAAGAGATTGTACAATGATGACAGGTTCCCTAAATCTTTTGAAAAGTCTGTCCATTCCATCTTGCGACGGATGGAAGAAGAAGTTCGAGACACGATCAGGGTCAGCGGGGATGTGAGGCACATTAAATGGCCCGACCTTAACCGGGTGACCAGCCTTATTCCTTTTGCTTTCCCGCCTTCCCAAGCTCACAGTCATGTCACTGCGATCTGTGAGGTTGTGCGACATTACGTGTGCAACCTGTACGTCCTCGATTTGTGTGATCCCACACTCCTCACAGACTGGCGAGAAGATGATTTCGCCAACTTGCAAGGCCTTCTACAAACACTTTCGCTGACGCACTGGGCACTTGTGATCTTTTTCCCCTCTCGTTGGGAGCTCAGTTTCTTGAAAGGCATGGCCAGGCTTAGCGTCCATCATCAGGACAGGGAAGTGGGTACGTAATGCACAAAAGCAGGCCACTGTCCGGGAAGGCAATATGCTGGTTGAGGAGTGTGACCGCCTGTACGTGATATTTAATGGTGAGAAGTTGGAAGACAACACATACGCAGTCTACCCAGCCAGTAGCCCGACAAAAGGTCCAAGTCCGGCCAAACACACGGTGGTGGCCCGCTCGAAACCTGTGTGTTCGTCGGACCCATCAGGACAGGCTGTGGCGTGTTTTGACGTGGCGGAAGAGGAAAGGTTCTCTCGTAGCATGTGGGAGGACGGTGGCGTGACAAGTTCTCAAGGACCTGCTTACAGGGAGATAATGCAGAACCCGTCCCGTCTACTTGGTTTACTCGAAAACTTTTGCAAAGCTGGGCAAACTGTTTTTTTCTTTGGGAAGGCGCATGTCGTGTGGGGACTCCTCCGCACCGGTCGGAACGTCGTCGTGTTGGAGAAGGAGGCGAGGATGATCGAATACCTTCACAAGTTCGTGAAGACACGCGTTGCAGACACTCGCAATGCTTGCGAGTTTGCCCGCACCACCAGCGAACGAAACTGGGATCCCAAACGTGACATGTATTGGAAATTGCCGGGGAACAAAAGGATGGACGTTTGGGACTTCCTTTTCGGACCCGGACCGCCTGGTCCGACCGACCTCGAATACAGTCGACGGAGAAACCTGGTGTTCGCTGTGCTCAATGGGTACCACGGTGCACCCAG